TCCTAGGATTGTATGATTCCCTCTGTGCTTTGTGCCACAATGATTGTGCTTCTCTCTTTTTCATGAACAAACAACTTCCCACGTGAAAGGCAGAGGCCAAAAGCCACCAAAGGAGTCAGCCACCGGGCCATCCAGACACTCCTCAACCCAGGTGAGCTGCCCTCCTTGGGCAGGTTTAGAATGTGGCCAATGTTTACCTGGTTGCCAAAGCAACCAGGTTGACAGTTTCCCTGAAAAGCCACCAATCAGGCCCCAGCTGTCCATTCTCCCGTCGTGCAGTGAAAGGACCAACAGCTGCTTGGGGTCATGGCTGTACGACGGTTTTTTAGAGTAAGTGTGGCCATCTCAGCTGCCAAGAAATTGGCAGTAGTAGGGGAGAAAGTCATGTTTCCCAACTCTTATGACTGACTTATGCCTATTTCTTTTCTCTTCACAGAACATCTGGAAAAGATGTTCAGCGCTCTTCTGCTGCACGAAGAGCGACGTAGAGGACCTTCCTGAGCCTCCTGACAGGTACCACCCCCTTCTCCACAAACCCTGGGCATGGTGGGGCAACAGTGATGGACTGCAGGGTCTCTAAGAGCCTCTCCTCAAGATGGCTTCCTGTGTGCAAGGGGTTGCAGAGGCAAAAAGTTGGGCAGGCTGAATGGCCGGTCCTAGAAAGGAGAGGCAGACCTAGAAGGATAACCTTTGACATGTCACCTTCTTCTTTTGGCCAGGATTGACGAGGGACAGAAGCGGCATGACCAGAAGGGAGAATGGCAGACACATCTTTGTGTGTCTGATGGACACAGGTCTTCCTCCCAAGGGGTAAGGACTCTTCTGTGACATGGCCAGTCAGGGTCCTTGCCTCAAAACCGGGTGGGGAAAGGGAGGAATTCTCACTTGGGGGAACCTGGCCAGCCTAGGAAAGTCAAGAGGAGCCTTTTGGATTCGGGAAAAGATCTTGATGGCTTGGAAGGGAAATACTGGGACATTCTAAGAAAGAGCCATTTTGAGCCTCTTCCCATTAGCCAACTTTTCCATGATCTGCTGTCTCTATTCCCTGTGGAGTGCAGCCTTTCCCTCTTGGGGAAGATAAACATTCCATCACATGCAGAGGACTTTTCATTTATTCCTTCAATGAACAATTGTTACTTGCAGGTTTTGATGGGTGTTCGTGCCACCGCCCGGATCCCCAGGAAGGAAGAGGTGGCGTCAGTTCTTATTTCAATGAGGTAGGTGTTCTCAGCTGAAGTATTCTGAAGCCCCCGAAAAGGCGGACGCACTAAAGCCCTAAAGAAAAGGGCTCGAAGAACCGTTTGCAGAGGGGAGGCATCGCATGGCTACTTTTCATCTTTGGCTCTTCATTCTCTCCCCAGAAATGAGAACATGGCGAAATGGAGGCCGCGGCTCTTAACTATCTCGGAGACCTGCACTGAGTCGGTAAGCCCAGACCAGCTCCTCACCATGCAGAAGCCCTTTCGCTGCGGGTTTGTTGATATGCCGACAGTTGTAATATTTGCATTGTTATTTCAGGATCCTTTGGAAGAATGCCAACCAAGGGACGACGTGCAGGAGGAAAGCAGTGCCTGCTTATCAAGGTAGGTAACACCTCGGAGGGTGAAACCTTTGCAGAAGGGAGGCATCTCTGCCCTCTGCCTCTGCAAAGGAAGAATGACTGAAGGCAGCCCCTTTGGCAGGCCAATCCCCTTGGCAGGCCAGCTGGAAGGGTTCTTAGAACCTCCACGGGACCACTTTTTTAAAAAGGGCCCGTGGCTACTGTTCACCTTTGGCCTCTTCGTTTCGCTCCCCAGAGAGAAAAAGCAAGAGCACTGGAGGCCGCGACTCCCCCCCATTTTGGAGACCTGCGTTGAGTCGGTAAGACCTGAACAGCTTCTGCCCCACTAAAAGAAGAAGCATTGTCTCTGTGGAGATGCCAACAGACAGAACCTTCACATTGTTATTTCAGGACGAAGAAGACCAGCCGGCAGAAGAGGAGCTCTCTCCTACTGAGGAGAAGACGCAGACCTCGGAGGTAAGAAAGTCTTGGCAATGGGGCCGATGGAGGCTCTCTTGCTGTTGGCACACAGGGCCTGAACGCACCCTGTCCTTTAGCAATCTTCTTGGGATGCAGAAGGCTTAGGATTTAGCCTCGATACTGTCACTAGCAGGATTCGATGGAAGTGCAGGTGGGCTCCGGGATCAACAGCCTGGAGGATTTCGACTCCATTTCTGCCCTCTTGGATGAGGTGTCTGAGGGAAGCTGGGAGCAGGCTGCAGAGGCTTTGGAGGCCAGCCTTTCGTCCAGTCCGGGGGTAAGAAAGACAAAGTGTTTTCTCTTGGGGAAGGATAGAGTCCCTCTATTCAGTTCTCCTAATCTGAGTGAACTGTGCTGGAGGGCTCTGGGCAGTGGAGCAAGGTGACACCTGGCCCTTGGGACAACATATTTAGGCTAACACTCAAGCTCTGGTGCGATTGGTTGGGTACCGCAAAGCAGCAGGGAAGGGCCCAATGCAGTGGACTGGTATCCTAAATGGATATGAACCACCGTGCTTATCCCTTTCCTTTTTCTGCTTCCTCCTCTCCAGCACCCTGTTGTTTCTGGGCAGGGCATTAAGGGGCAGAGTAGACAGCCTACATTTCTGCGGGAATGGCTGGGTGGGGGTGGGGATTGCAACAGAAGCATTGTTCCCGATGAGGATCCTGATTCAATAGGACCTCTTTTAGGAATTCTGAGTCTCTTTTCACTGATGGCTAAAGAGGAATCATTGTCATTCACAGGATTCTCCTGAAGAAGGGGAAGGCACGCTGGAGAATCTCAGCAGCCTGGAGGAAGACTCCCTGGACTTCAGTCTCTAATTAAAAGAGGTACCTATTTTAGCCTCTTTGTTGTTGTGTTGAAGTCTTGCAAAGCTCAATGAAGCAATACGCTCTGCCGTGCAGGGTCACCCAAGTCAGACAGGTCATAGTGCAGAGCGCTAACACAACATGGTCCACTGGAGAAGGAAATGGCAATCTTCTCCAGTGTCCTTATTAAGAAAACCCCACAAAAGTATCAAAAGTAACTCCAAAAAGAACAAAGTGTTTGTACTTTTATAGAAAGCGTGTGGTACTAATAAAAGCCTTTGATTACTCCCCCAGATGCTTCCCCAGATGCCTCTCCAGTTGGCAGATCGGAGAAGGATGAACCAGTCCCAGGCACATCAGGAGGTGAGTTGGTCAATGCCTCCGAGCAGCCAGAGGAGAGGGATTTGGCTGGAGCACAGGTGCGGCAGGACAGCCAGGAGGCTTTCGGATGGGAAAGCACACAGCTGCAGATGGTTAGTTTGGAGGAGGAACTGCTTTATACACTCATCCGAGAACAAGTAGGGCAGAGAAAAGGCAGGAGCCGCAAAGGGCAGCTCTTTTATTCACAAGGAGGAAGTCTCGCCCTTCTTGATGGGCTGGACCAGAAGCTGGCTATTTAGCACAGCAGACAGAGGGAGGCGATGCTGGGAACAATGTGTTCATGAGTAGGGGGTTGGAGTAGAAGACCTCCAAAGTCCCTTCCAACTCTTGGTATTCTGTTCTGTTATTCTATTTGCATATAGACGGACGGCGATGGACGGCGGAATCCGACCCAGCAGCGAAGACCAGCGATGAGCCACTTTCCCCCAAGGAACTTTCTGCGTCTTGTTATTGTTGTTGTTTTTGTAAGTGTTCTTTTTGTTGTACTTGCTCTTGTTGTTCTAGTTATTGTTCGGAGAATAAAAGTAAAAAAGATTTTATATATACTAATTTAGCTTAGGCCTATTTTCATGACACTTTTGTTAGGAATAGGGTAAACTTTTCATTAAATGTAAATTTCAGCAAAATTCTTTGTCTGAGCTTTGTCCCATTTTTTCCCACCGTTCTACATCATACAGTGAATTAGTATTTAGTTACAATATTAATGGAAACCTGACACTTCCAGAGGTTCCTCAACTACATACAGGTAGTCCTCAACCTACCCCAATTGATCCCCAAATATATGTTGCTAAATGGAACATTTGTGAAGTGACTTTTGCCTCATTTTACAATGTTTCTTGCCACAGTTGTTAAGTAGATCATTGCAGTTGTTAAGATAGTAACACAGTTGTTAAGACTGGCTTCCCCATTGCTTTTGCTTGTCAGAAGGGCGCAAAAGTTGATCACATGACCCCTGGACACTGCTACCGTCCTAAACATGAGTCAGTTGCCAAGCATCTGAATATTGATCACGTGACCATGGGGTTCTGCAATGGACGAAAGTGTGACAAAAGTTCATAAGGAATTTTACAGAACAATACCCAACTTATAGTAGCTAAGAGGCCATAATTTCTTGTAAGTCATGCGAGGTTGTTGCTACAAGGCATACACTAGCAAAATATGCAATCCAACTCTTCTAACCGACTTTCTCTGGAGAGGTGAGTGCAACTCCCAGACTGGCCATTTCTCTCCATGCAAATGGTGACCTGACAGCGACTGCAATCTGACCACTTAGAGAGGGGCACCAATTTCGTCAGAGTTTTACCCCATTTTATGACCTTTCTTGCCACACCTGTTAAGTGAATCACTCCAGTTCATAAGTTAGTAACCTGGTTCTTAAGTGAATCTGGCTTCCCCATTGACTTTGCTTGTCAGAAGGTCACAAAAGAAAATCACATGACCTGGGGATACAGCAACGGTCATAAGTGTGAACCAGTTGCCAAGCATCTTAATTTTGATAACATAATCATGGGGATGCTGCAAAGGTCGTATTTGTGAAAATAATAATAATAATAACAAGAACAACAACAACTTTATTGTCACTTTGAATGTACACCAATTGGCATACATCAAAATGAAATTTCGTTGCATACAGCTCTCAAAGGTTCACATGTCCCTTTTTTCAGTGACGTTGTAACTTCGAATGGTCATTAAATGAAGTGTTGTAAGTTAAGGCTTCCTGTAATTTTGAGGGTTATTTCTTCTATACACAAGAAGCAATGATCATGTCTTGCAATATACATCTTAAAATTAATAACCAACCTGGAAACTTTTGGAATATGAGTTTACTTACCGAAGAAAGATTCTATATTTACCATTTAATAATAGGCTGGAAGATAAAACCCCCAAAAGACATTTGTCGGAGGCCATAAAAGCCACTTAGAAGCTGAATTCCAGAGTTGGAAGGGACCTTGGAGATCTTCTAGCCCAGCCGCCTAGAAGTGCAGAAGTCCAGAAAGGGTTTCCAAGTAGAAACAAAAGGACTTATGTCTTTTTCTTTCATCAAAGGAGTCAATTTAGCCATCTCTGCTAACTCCATCAACTTTTGCAGCCATTCCGCCAGTGTGGAGATCGAAATGTCCTTACATGTTTGTGCATAAACTAGTCTTGTTGCAGTCAGCGTATATAACATTGAAATTCCATCATTTTGTCCAAGTCTTTTTTCCATTAAACCAAAAAGAAAAGTTTCTGGTTTTACCTTTATATTTACTTTCAGTATTTTCTGAAAAGGAAACTAAACAGCATGAGGGAACAATTCTGCGCCAGGACAATTTAGACAGCAATTAGCATTAGGTCTCATGAACAGCAAACCGGTGTTTAAATGTGCGGGTACCACGTCAAATCGTAGATCAGTTCATGTCCCGCTGTAAACTGAAGGCATATACAGTCTCTCATTTTTAAATATAAACAATGCTTTGCTTCAATGGTTAGATGGCCTAGACCAGGGGTAGGCAAACTTGGCTCTTTTATGACTCGTGGACTTCAACTCCCATAATTCCTCAGCCAGCATGCCTGGATGAGGAATTCTGGGAGGTGAAGTCCACAAATCATAAAAGAGCCAAGTTTGAAGACCCCTGGTTTAGAACATAGATCTTTTTCAAATTTATATTATATTATGTTTTATTGGTCTACATGAAATGTTAATATATATTGCAAATCCATGTATGATATTCCATATGCTAAATAAACACACACACATACACAAATACACACAAACACACACACACACACACACACACACAGAGAGAGAGAGAGAGAGATATATTTTTTTAAAGATTTGGTCCCAAATGGGAAATATCCAGTGTAACCATTACTTAACTGTTGCCTTGCCTTGTTTTGCCCTGGTATTTTATCACCACCATAATCCTATTCATAGTTACTTGTGGAATTTTGTCTTTGCGCGGAACTGTCTTCACTGCAAAAATGTGTGGAAAGAACTGACAATGCTACCTGTCTCAGCCCGAGAGGTGACTACAGCAGGACAAACTGCAAGGACTACAGACCTACCTCAGCTCAGGCTGGATTTTTAGGCCCCGTGTTGGGAAAGGAGGAGGCCATTTCCTGTTGCCCAGAAATTCAGTGAGTGGGGATTGGATCTTAGACTCGTCAATCAAAGGATAGTAACACTGGGTTCCTCTTCTGGTTTATATTTATATTTATATATTTGTATTCTTGGAGGGAAGAGAAGTGAGTAATTTGGGAGCTGGGAGTGGCAGATGGAAGGAAAGCTTGGAGTCTTAGCCCTAAGAAAACTACTAAGAGTTATACTAGTAGTGCTCGACTTACGACCACAATTGAGCCAATGTTTCTGTTGCTAAGCGAGAGAGTTTTTAAGTGAGTTTTTCTCCTTTTACAATCTTTCTTGCCACAGCTGTTAAGTGAATTAAGTGGTGAAGTTAGTAACACGGTTGTTAAGTGAATCTGCCTTCCGCATTGATTTTGCTGTTGAAAGGATTGCAAAAGGGGATTACATGACCTTCGGACACAGCAACGGTCATAAGTATGAACCAATTGCCAAACATCTGAATTTTGATCACATGATCATGGGACTGCTACAAAGGTTGTAAGTGTGAAAAATGGTCATCAGTTACTTTGTCAGGGCTGTTGTAACTTTCAAGGGTCAAAAAATGAACGGTTGTAAGTCGAGGACTATCTGTATAAATACATCTTTAGAGCCAAGGAAGGCAGGATTGGGTAGAAATATCGTACAGCTAAGGCAACCTGTTTATAATCCATTTTCACGTTGTTTTTAATGTAAATTTTACAATATTGACAATTTTGTTACTATAAAGCTTCTTGGGACAAACTCAAATTAAATATCAGTTTGTTATGGACTCAAGTCTCAGCTTGATTTTCCTGCACAGGTAGTCCTCGACTTACGATGAGAACTGAGCTCAAAATTTCTGTTGTTAAGGGAGACACTTGTTAAGTGAGTTTTGTCCCTTTTACGACTTTTCTTCCCACAGTTGCTTAATGAATCACTGCGCTTGATAACTTAGTAACACGGTTGTTAAGTGAAGCTGGCTTCCGCATTGGTTTTGCTTTTCAAACTGTTGCAAAAGGTGATCGCATGACCTCCGGACATAGCAACGGTCATAAGGATGAACCAATTGCCAAGCATTTGAATGTTGATCACGTGAGCATGGGACTGCTACAAAGGTCGTAAGTGTGAAAAACGGTCATAAGTCACTTTATTCAGTGTCATTGTAACTTTCAAGGGTTACTAAATGAACTGTTGTACGTTGAGGACTTCCTGTACTATGTGTACTTAATCCTGCTTCCAATATTTTTCCTCAACCTTCCTTTGAAATTTCTCTAATCCCTACACAACCCACTCTGAAGCCCATCCTTCAGAAATGCAGTCATAACGATAACTACGTTTGTTCCTGTTTGGGGCATTATATCAAAGTTAGATATTTTTATAAACTCAAAGAGGATACAAGGACAGAATTTAAAATATGAATATAAATAAATGAGAATTTTCCCGTTGGAGGAAGAAAAAGGATATCTATGTGAAACAATAGACGTTTTGGAAGTAAACCTGCAAACCTGAAAAAAAAAATAAGAATTTGTTCTGTTTCTGGGATGCCTGTGGTTTAATATTTCACTATAACTGAAGGATAAGTTATGAAGCTGGTTACTTTGAACCTGCTGTTTATTTCTTGTTTTTTGTTCCTAGTTTATGATATTTGGAAATTTAAAATGGAACATATTTGAGACCAGCAAGGCCATTCTTGAAGAAAGAAGAACTGTCTCTATTTGTTAGGGCAGTGAATGCTTCAACATTTACTTAGAAGATATTTAAGTACAGCATCTCTCTCCTCATCACTATAAATCTGTAATGTTTTTCTCTTTGAGCCTGAAGTCACATTATCAGTACAGGTGGTCCTCAACCTGAGACTGCGATTGAGCCCTGAATTACAGTCGTACATTGTTGCAGTTAAAAAGTCAAAGCATCATGTGACTGGACCTAATTTTTTGAACATTTTTACAGTAGTTGTTAAGCGAACGCTGTAGTCATTAAGCGAATGCTGAAGTCATTAAGTGAACGCTGAAGGCTCAAAATAACGCTTTGCAACATGGCCGCCGGGGAGGTCATGCCTGAAGTCTGTGTGAGTATGGAGAGGAAATATCCCAGAGTTGTGTGTGCTGCATTGTGGAGATTTTCAAGAAAAGATTGGACAGTCATTTGTCTGAGATGGTATGGGGAGCCTTTCCTTGGGCAGGGGGTTGGACTAAAATTCCCATCTATCCTAGGATTGTATGATTCCCTCTGTGCTTTGTGCCACAATGATTGTGCTTCTCTCTTTTTCATGAACAAACAACTTCCCACGTGAAAGGCAGAGGCCAAAAGCCACCAAAGGAGTCAGCCACCGGGCCATCCAGACACTCCTAAACCCAGGTGAGCTGCCCTCCTTGGGCAGGTTTAGAATGTGGCCAATGTTTACCTGGTTGCCAAAGCAACCAGGTTGACAGTTTCCCTGAAAAGCCACCAATCAGGCCCCAGCTGTCCATTCTCCCTTCGTGCAGTGAAAGGACCAACAGCTGCTTGGGGTCATGGCTGTACGACGGTTTTTTAGAGTAAGTGTGGCCATCTCAGCTGCCAAGAAATTGGCAGTAGTAGGGGAGAAAGTCATGTTTCCCAACTCTTATGACTGACTTATGCCTATTTCTATTCTCTTCACAGAACATCTGGAAAAGATGTTCAGCGCTCTTCTGCTGCACAAAGAGCGACGTAGAGGACCTTCCTGAGCCTCCTGACAGGTACCACCCCCTTCTCCACAAACCCTGGGCATGGTGGGGCAACATTGATGGACTGCAGGGTCTCTAAGAGCCTCTCCTCAAGATGGCTTCCTGTGTGCAAGGGGTTGCAGAGGCAAAAAGTTGGGCAGGCTGAATGGCCGGTCCTAGAAAGGAGAGGCAGACCTAGAAGGATAACCTTTGACATGTCACCTTCTTCTTTTGGCCAGGACTGACGAGGGACAGAAGCGGCATGACCAGAAGGGAGAATGGCAGACACATCTTTGTGTGTCTGATGGACACAGGTCTTCCTCCCAAGGGGTAAGGACTCTTCTGTGACATGGCCAGTCAGGGTCCTTGCCTCAAAACCGGGTGGGGAAAGGGAGGAATTCTCACTTGGGGGAACCTGGCCAGCCTAGGAAAGTCAAGAGGAGCCTTTTGGATTCGGGAAAAGATCTTGATGGCTTGGAAGGGAAATACTGGGACATTCTAAGAAAGAGCCATTTTGAGCCTCTTCCCATTAGCCAACTTTTCCATGATCTGCTGTCTCTATTCCCTGTGGAGTGCAGCCTTTCCCTCTTGGGGAAGATAAACATTCCATCACATGCAGAGGACTTTTCATTTATTCCTTCAATGAACAATTGTTACTTGCAGGTTTTGATGGGTGTTCGTGCCACCGCCCGGATCCCCAGGAAGGAAGAGGTGGCGCCAGTTCTTATTTCAATGAGGTAGGTGTTCTCAGCTGAAGTATTCTGAAGCCCCCGAAAAGGCGGACGCACTAAAGCCCTAAAGAAAAGGGCTCGAAGAACCGTTTGCAGAGGGGAGGCATCGCATGGCTACTTTTCATCTTTGGCTCTTCATTCTCTCCCCAGAAATGAGAACATGGCGAAATGGAGGCCGCGGCTCTTAACTATCTCGGAGACCTGCACTGAGTCGGTAAGCCCAGACCAGCTCCTCACCATGCAGAAGCCCTTTCGCTGCGGGTTTGTTGATATGCCAACAGTTGTAATATTTGCATTGTTATTTCAGGATCCTTTGGAAGAATGCCAACCAAGGGACGACGTGCAGGAGGAAAGCAGTGCCTGCTTATCAAGGTAGGTAACACCTCGGAGGGTGAAACCTTTGCAGAAGGGAGGCATCTCTGCCCTCTGCCTCTGCAAAGGAAGAATGACTGAGGGCAGCCCCTTTGGCAGGCCAATCCCCTTGGCAGGCCAGCTGGAAGGGTTCTTAGAACCTCCACGGGACCACTTTTTTAAAAAGGGCCCGTGGCTACTTTTCACCTTTGGCCTCTTCGTTTCGCTCCCCAGAGAGAAAAAGCAAGAGCACTGGAGGCCGCGACTCCCCCCCATTTTGGAGACCTGCGTTGAGTCGGTAAGACCTGAACAGCTTCTGCCCCACTAAAAGAAGAAGCATTGTCTCTGTGGAGATGCCAACAGACAGAACCTTCACATTGTTATTTCAGGACGAAGAAGACCAGCCGGCAGAAGAGGAGCTCTCTCCTACTGAGGAGAAGACGCAGACCTCGGAGGTAAGAAAGTCTTGGCAATGGGGCCGATGGAGGCTCTCTTGCTGTTGGCACACAGGGCCTGAACGCACCCTATCCTTTAGCAATCTTATTGGGATGCAGAAGGCTTAGGATTTAGCCTCGATACTGTCACTAGCAGGATTCGATGGAAGTGCAGGTGGGCTCCGGGATCAACAGCCTGGAGGATTTCGACTCCATTTCTGCCCTCTTGGATGAGGTGTCTGAGGGAAGCTGGGAGCAGGCTGCAGAGGCTTTGGAGGCCAGCCTTTCGTCCAGTCCGTGGGTAAGAAAGACAAAGTGTTTTCTCTTGGGGAAGGATAGAGTCCCTCTATTCAGTTCTCCTAATCTGAGTGAACTGTGCTGGAGGGCTCTGGGCAGTGGAGCAAGGTGACACCTGGCCCTTGGGACAACATATTTAGGCTAACACTCAAGCTCTGTTGCGATTGGTTGGGTACCGCAAAGCAGCAGGGAAGGGCCCAATGCAGTGGACTGGTATCCTAAATGGATATGAACCACCCTGCTTATCCCTTTCCTTTTTCTGCTTCCTCCTCTCCAGCACCCTGTTGTTTCTGGGCAGGGCATTAAGGAGCAGAGTAGACAGCCTACATTTCTGCGGGAACGGCTGGGTGGGGGTGGGGATTGCAACAGAAGCATTGTTCCCGATGAGGATCCTGATTCAATAGGACCTCTTTTAGGAATTCTGAGTCTCTTTTCACTGATGGCTAAAGAGGAATCATTGTCATTCACAGGATTCTCCTGAAGAAGGGGAAGCCACGCTGGAGAATCTCAGCAGCCTGGAGGAAGACTCCCTGGACTTCAGTCTCTAATTAAAAGAGGTACCTATTTTAGCCTCTTTGTTGTTGTGTTGAAGTCTTGCAAAGCTCAATGAAGCAATACGCTCTGCCGTGCAGGGTCACCCAAGTCAGACAGGTCATAGTGCAGAGCGCTAACACAACATGGTCCACTGGAGAAGGAAATGGCAACCTTCTCCAGTGTCCTTATTAAGAAAACCCCACAAAAGTATCAAAAGTAACTCCAAAAAGAACAAAGTGTTTGTACTTTTATAGAAAGCGTGTGGTACTAATAAAAGCCTTTGATTACTCCCCCAGATGCTTCCCCAGATGCCTCTCCAGTTGGCAGATCGGAGAAGGATGAACCAGTCCCAGGCACATCAGGAGGTGAGTTGGTCAATGCCTCCGAGCAGCCAGAGGAGAGGGATTTGGCTGGAGCACAGGTGCGGCAGGACAGCCAGGAGGCTTTCAGATGGGAAAGCACACAGCTGCAGATGGTTAGTTTGGAGGAGGAACTGCTTTATACACTCATCCGAGAACAGGTAGGGCAGAGAAAAGGCAGGAGCAGCAAAGGGCAGCTCTTTTATTCACAAGGAGGAAGTCTCGCCCTTCTTGATGGGCTGGACCAGAAGCTGGCTATTTAGCACAGCAGACAGATGGAGGCGATGCTGGGAACAATGTGTTCATGAGTAGGGGGTTGGAGTAGAAGACCTCCAAAGTCCCTTCCAACTCTTGGTATTCTGTTCTGTTATTCTATCTGCATATAGACGGAAGGCGATGGACGGCGGAATCCGACCCAGCAGCGAAGACCAGCGATGAGCCACTTTCCCCCAAGGAACTTTCTGCGTCTTGTTATTGTTGTTGTTTTTGTAATTGTTCTTTTTGTTGTACTTGCTCTTGTTGTTCTAGTTATTGTTCGGAGAATAAAAGTAAAAAAGATTTTATATATACTAATTTAGCTTAGGCCTATTTTCATTACACTTTTGTTAGGAATAGGGTAAACTTTTCATTAAATGTAAATTTCAGCAAAATTCTTTGTCTGAGCTTTGTCCCATTTTTTCCCACCGTTCTACAGCATACAGTGAATTAGTATTTAGTTACAATATTAATGGAAACCTGACACTTCCAGAGGTTCCTCAACTACATACAGGTAGTCCTCAACCTACCCCAATTGATCCCCAAATATATGTTGCTAAATGGAACATTTGTGAAGTGACTTTTGCCTCATTTTACAATGTTTCTTGCCACAGTTGTTAAGTAGATCATTGCAGTTGTTAAGATAGTAACACAGTTGTTAAGACTGGCTTCCCCATTGCTTTTGCTTGTCAGAAGGGCGCAAAAGTTGATCACATGACCCCTGGACACTGCTACCGTCCTAAACATGAGTCAGTTGCCAAGCATCTGAATATTGATCACGTGACCATGGGGTTCTGCAATGGACGAAAGTGTGACAAAAGTTCATAAGGAATTTTACAGAACAATACCCAACTTATAGTAGCTAAGAGGCCATAATTTCTTGCAAGTCATGCTAGGTTGTTGCTACAAGGCATACACTAGCAAAATATGCAATCCAACTCTTCTAACCGACTTTCTCTGGAGAGGTGAGTGCAACTCCCAGACTGGCCATTTCTCTCCATGCAAATGGTGACCTGACAGCGACTGCAATCTGACCACTTAGAGAGGGGCACCAATTTCATCTGAGTTTTACCCCATTTTATGACCTTTCTTGCCACACCTGTTAAGTGAATCACTCCAGTTCATAAGTTAGTAACCTGGTTCTTAAGTGAATCTGGCTTCCCCATTGACTTTGCTTGTCAGAAGGTCACAAAAGAAAATCACATGACCTGGGGACACAGCAACGGTCATAAGTGTGAACCAGTTGCCAAGCATCTTAATTTTGATAACATAATCATGGGGATGCTGCAAAGGTCGTATTTGTGGAAAATAATAATAATAATAACAAGAACAACAACAACTTTATTGTCACTTTGAATGTACACCAATTGGCATACATCAAAATGAAATTTCGTTGCATACAGCTCTCAAAGGTTCACATGTCCCTTTTTTCAGTGACGTTGTAACTTCGAATGGTCATTAAATGAAGTGTTGTAAGTTAAGGCTTCCTGTAATTTGGAGGGTTATTTCTTCTATACACAAGAAGCAATGATCATGTCTTGCAATATACATCTTAAAATTAATAACCAACCTGGAAACTTTTGGAATATGAGTTTACTTACCGAAGAAAGATTCTATATTTACCATTTAATAATAGGCTGGAAGATAAAACCCCCAAAAGACATTTGTCGGAGGCCATAAAAGCCACTTAGAAGCTGAATTCCAGAGTTGGAAGGGACCTTGGAGATCTTCTAGCCCAGCCGCCTAGAAGTGCAGAAGTCCAGAAAGGGTTTCCAAGTAGAAACAAAAGGACTTATGTCTTTTTCTTTCATCAAAGGAGTCAATTTAGCCATCTCTGCTAACTCCATCAACTTTTGCAGCCATTCCGCCATTGTGGAGATCGAAATGTCCTTACATGTTTGTGCATAAACTAGTCTTGTTGCAGTCAGCGTATATAACATTGAAATTCCATCATTTTGTCCAAGTCTTTTTTCCATTAAACCAAAAAGAAAAGTTTCTGGTTTTACCTTTATATTTACTTTCAGTATTTTCTGAAAAGGAAACTAAACAGCATGAGGGAACAATTCTGCGCCAGGACAATTTAGACAGCAATTAGCATTAGGTCTCATGAACAGCAAACCGGTGTTTAAATGTGCGGGTACCACGTCAAATCGTAGATCAGTTCATGTCCCGCTGTAAACTGAAGGCATATACAGTCTCTCATTTTTAAATATAAACAATGCTTTGCTTCAATGGTTAGATGGCCTAGACCAGGGGTAGGCAAACTTGGCTCTTTTATGACTCGTGGACTTCAACTCCCATAATTCCTCAGCCAGCATGCCTGGATGAGGAATTCTGGGAGGTGAAGTCCACAAATCATAAAAGAGCCAAGTTTGAAGACCCCTGGTTTAGAACATAGATCTTTTTCAAATTTATATTATATTATGTTTTATTGGTCTACATGAAATGTTAATATATATTGCAAATCCATGTATGATATTCCATATGCTAAATAAACACACACACATACACAAATACACACAAACACACAAACACACACACAGAGAGAGAGAGAGAGAGAGAGAGAGATTTTTTTAAAGATTTGGTCCCAAATGGGAAATATCCAGTGTAACCATTACTTACTGTTGCCTTGCCTTGTTTTGCCCTGGTATTTTATCACCACCATAATCCTATTCATAGTTACTTGTGGAATTTTGTCTTTGTGCGGAACTGTCTTCACTGCAAAAATGTGTGGAAAGAATTGACAATGCTACCTGTCTCAGCCCGAGAGGTGACTACAGCAGGACAAACTGCAGGGACTACAGACCTTCCTCAGCTCAGGCTGGATTTTTAGGCCCCGTGTTGGGAAAGGAGGAGGCCATTTCCTGTTGCCCAGAAATTCAGTGAGTGGGGATTGGATCTTAGACCTGTCAATCAAAGGATAGTAACACTGGGTTCCTCTTCTGGTTTATATTTATATTTATATATTTGTATTCTTGGAGGGAAGAGAAGTGAGTAATTTGGGAGCTGGGAGTGGCAGATGGAAGGAAAGCTTGGAGTCTTAGCCCTAAGAAAACTACTAAGAGTTATACTAGTAGTGCTCGACTTACGACCACAATTGAGCCAATGTTTCTGTTGCTAAGCGAGAGAGTTTTTAAGTGAGTTTTTCTCCTTTTACAATCTTTCTTGCCACAGCTGTTAAGTGAATTAAGTGGTGAAGTTAGTAACACGGTTGTTAAGTGAATCTGCCTTCCGCATTGATTTTGCTGTTGAAAGGATTGCAAAAGGGGATCACATGACCTTCGGACACAGAAACGGTCATAAGTATGAACCAATTGCCAAACATCTGAATTTTGATCACATGATCATGGGACTGCTACAAAGGTCGTAAGTGTGAAAAATGGTCATCAGTTACTTTGTCAGGGCTGTTGTAACTTTCAAGGGTCAAAAAATGAACGGTTGTAAGTCGAGGACTATCTGTATAAATACATCTTTAGAGCCAAGGAAGGCAGGATTGGGTAGAAATATCGTACAGCTAAGGCAACCTGTTTATAATCCATTTTCACGTTGTTTTTAATGTAAATTTTACAATATTGACAATTTTGTTACTATAAAGCTTCTTGGGACAAACTCAAATTAAATATCAGTTTGTTATGGACTCAAGTCTCAGCTTGATTTTCCTGCACAGGTAGTCCTCGACTTACGATGAGAACTGAGCTCAAAATTTCTGTTGTTAAGGGAGACACTTGTTAAGTGAGTTTTGTCCCTTTTACGACTTTTCTTCCCACAGTTGCTTAATGAATCACTGCGCTTGATAACTTAGTAACACGGTTGTTAAGTGAAACTGGCTTCCGCATTGGTTTTGCTTTTCAAACTGTTGCAAAAGGTGATCGCATGACCTCCGGACATAGCAACGGTCATAAGGATGAACCAATTGCCAAGCATTTGAATGTTGATCACGTGAGCATGGGACTGCTACAAAGGTCGTAAGTGTGAAAAACGGTCATAAGTCACTTTATTCAGTGTCATTGTAACTTTCAAGGGTTACTAAATGAACTGTTGTACGTTGAGGACTTCCTGTACTATGTGTACTTAATCCTGCTTCCAATATTTTTCCTCAACCTTCCTTTGAAATTTCTCTAATCCCTACACAACCCACTCTGAAGCCCATCCTTCAGAAATGCAGTCATAACGATAACTACGTTTGTTCCTGTTTGGGGCATTATATCAAAGTTAGATATTTTTATAAACTCAAAGAGGATACAAGGACAGAATTTAAAATATGAATATAAATAAATGAGAATTTTCCCGTTGGAGGAAGAAAAAGGATATCTATGTGAAACAATAGACGTTTTGGAAGTAAACCTGCAAACCTGAAAAAAAAAAATAAGAATTTGTTCTGTTTCTAGGATGCCTGTGGTTTAATATTTCACTATAACTGAAGGATAAGTTATGAAGCTGGTTACTTTGAACCTGCTGTTTATTTCTTGTTTTTTGTTCCTAGTTTATGATATTTGGAAATTTAAAATGGAACATATTTGAGACCAGCAAGGCCATTCTTGAAGAAAGAAGAACTGTCTCTATTTGTTAGGGCAGTGAATGCTTCAACATTTACTTAGAAGATATTTAAGTACAGCATCTCTCTCCTCATCACTATAAATCTGTAATGTTTTTCTCTTTGAGCCTGAAGTCACATTATCAGTACAGGTGGTCCTCAACCTGAGACTGCGATTGAGCCCTGAATTACAGTCGTACATTGTTGCAGTTAAAAAGTCAAAGCATCATGTGACTGGACCTAATTTTTTGAACATTTTTACAGTAGTTGTTAAGCGAACGCTGTAGTCATTAAGCGAATGCTGAAGTCATTAAGTGAACGCTGAAGGCTCAAAATAACGCTTTGCAACATGGCCGCCGGGGAGGTCATGCCTGAAGTCTGTGTGAGTATGGAGAGGAAATATCCCAGAGTTGTGTGTGCTGCATTGTGGAGATTTTCAAGAAAAGATTGGACAGTCATTTGTCTGAGATGGTATGGGGAGCCTTTCCTTGGGCAGGGGGTTGGACTAAAATTCCCATCTATCCTAGGATTGTATGATTCCCTCTGTGCTTTGTGCCACAATGATTGTGCTTCTCTCTTTTTCATGAACAAACAACTTCCCACGTGAAAGGCAGAGGCCAAAAGCCACCAAAGGAGTCAGCCACCGGGCCATCCAGACACTCCTAAACCCAGGTGAGCTGCCCTCCTTGGGCACGTTTAGAATGTGGCCAATGTTTACCTGGTTGCCACAGCAACCAGGTTGACAGTTTCCCTGAAAAGCCACCAATCAGGCCCCAGCAGTCCATTCTCCCTTCGTGCAGTGAAAGGACCAACAGCTGCTTGGGGTCATGGCTGTACGACGGTTTTTTAGAGTAAGTGTGGCCATCTCAGCTGCCAAGAAATTGGCAGTAGTAGGGGAGAAAGTCATGTTTCCCAACTCTTATGACTGACTTATGCCTATTTCTTTCTCTTCACAGAACATCTGGAAAAGATGTTCAGCGCTCTTCTGCTGCACGAAGAGCGACGTAGAGGACCTTCCTGAGCCTCCTGACAGGTACCACCCCCTTCTCCACAAACCCTGGGCATGGTGGGGCAACATTGATGGACTGCAGGGTCTCTAAGAGCCTCTCCTCAAGATGGCTTCCTGTGTGCAAGGGGTTGCAGAGGCAAAAAGTTGGGCTGGCTGAATGGCCGGTCCTAGAAAGGAGAGACAGACCTAGAAGGATAACCTTTGACATGTCACCTTCTTCTTTTGGCCAGGACTGACGAGGGACAGAAGCGGCATGACCAGAAGGGAGAATGGCAGACACATCTTTGTGTGTCTGATGGACACAGGTCTTCCTCCCAAGGGGTAAGGACTCTTCTGTGACATGGCCAGTCAGGGTCCTTGCCTCAAAACCGGGTGGGGAAAGGGAGGAATTCTCACTTGGGGGAACCTGGCCAGCCTAGGAAAGTCAAGAGGAGCCTTTTGGATTCGGGAAAAGATCTTGATGGCTTGGAAGGGAAATACTGGGACATTCTAAGAAAGAGCCATTTTGAGCCTCTTCCCATTAGCCAACTTTTCCATGATCTGCTGTCTCTATTCCCTGTGGAGTGCAGCCTTTCCCTCTTGGGGAAGATAAACATTCCATCACATGCAGAGGACTTTTCATTTATTCCTTCAATGAACAATTGTTACTTGCAGGTTTTGATGGGTGTTCGTGCCACCGCCCGGATCCCCAGGAAGGAAGAGGTGGCGCCAGTTCTTATTTCAATGAGGTAGGTGTTCTCCGCTGAAGTATTCTTTTTTTTTTATTGAAAATTTTTTAAATTTTACAAAAACAAATCCCCTTCCCATACCCCCCCCAACCCTACCTCACCCCCCCCCCTTCCCAACCTCCCAAACCCTCCCCTGGACTTTCCAGAGCTGAGTACAGGCTTAATTAAAAAAAAAAAACCTTAAAACACTTTTAAAACCTAAACAAGTTTAAATACAATCATCATTCTATATAAACTCCCTCCAAAAACACAAATTTAAACATTACTTTCTTTGAATATCTATATCTATAGTGTAAAATCTAATTTCTCCCTCTTTCTTTATCCTAAAACAAAAAAATAAACATATAAACCTTTGTTATACCATTAAAACTAAATACTCTTAAAAAACTTAAAGTAAATACATATTTCCTTCAATCTTCATAATCTTCTCTCCTATCCAAAAAGAAAAAACTTAAAAAACTTATAAGTCCTAAACAAATCTAAGCACATTTAGTTAAACAAATTATTTTCTCTTAAAAATATTAATAATAATATTTAAAAACTAGAAACACTTTTAAATCCTAAACAAATCTAAATACAATCATCATTCTATATAAACTCCCTCCAAAAACACAAATTTAAACATTACTTTCTTTCCTAAACAAATCTAGACATTTAATTAAACAAATTATTTTCTCTTAAAAATATTAATAATATTTAAAAACCAAATTTAAGCATACTTAAAACTTGAACAAGTTATACTCCCTTTAAAACACAAATTTAAACATTACTTAAAATTTAAAACATTAGAATCCCCTCACTAAAATGAACAAATTATAATCCCTTCAAAACACAAATTTAAACAATATTATCATTAAAGGTTCAAAACTTAAAACAACAAAATTCCCTTATACGCCTATCCATAATAAACACATTAAACATTTCAATCTTCACCAATAACAAATTCCATCCGTAAGAAACTGCATCCTTATCAGTCTCAATTATATTAGTATTATTATTAATTATTCACATTCCAGTTTTTTCCATTCTCCATTCTTCCATTCTTCCATTTCCATTCTCCATTCTTGTATCAAACTCGTAAGAAATGCTGCAAGTTCTGCCTTAGGAGACTGCTCCAAAATTCCTGAATCTCCCATCGACTCCGAAGCCAATACAGGTAAGGGTTCCTTGAATTCCTCCTTCTGTTGGTCTTTACAATTGTAAGTTGTACAAGTTATCCTCTGCCCGTTCCTCTCTTGTTGATGCCCCTCAAACTGAGATTTCCCAATTTCCATTTCAGGCAGCAATTCCACCCTTGAAGATTGCTCCAAAGACTTTGTAGGTCTAACATCTCCCAGAGATTCAGAGACCACTGAATATGAAACTTCCTTAACCTTCTTCTGTTGCTGCTTTTCTTTGGAATTGTATGCTGCACAAGTTGTCTTCTGCTCCTCAACCTGGACTTGTTGAGGCCTCTCACACAAAGATTCGCCAGTTTTCATAAATATAGGCTCTTCAAACTGTAATTCTACATTCTTTTCTTCCAAAGCTTTAAACTTAATAGATGGCGATGCACATACCCCCAGGACCGAAGTATAAAAATCTTTTGCTTGAGAAACAGTATTAAGTCTATAACATGTCCCCAGGTAGTTCACCACCATTCCAGTCGGAACATCCCATCTGAATAGAATTTTTCTCTTTTTAAGTTCATTTGCTAGAAAAGCAAACTCCTTTCTTCTTCTTAAAATTTTAGATGGGATCTTCTTAAAAATTATAACATCTTGTGAAGCAATTTGAAATCTCTTCTTATAATAGGCTTGCACAATTTCATTGCGTAAAGATCTTTTACCAAAGTAAATTACCACATCTCTTGGCAGATTCTTCTGTGCTGCCACCACAGAGTTAACCCTAAATAATTTTTCAATTTCACTAAGTATTCCCTCTTTTTCTTTATTCAAAATCAATGCAAAGTCCTTTGCAACCATCTCTTTCAGATCTCCTTGCAAAGACTCTCCCAGGCCCCTGATTCTTAAGGCATATTCCATTTGTCCATATTGAAGCATAAGAATCTCATTTTCCATTTCTTTTTCCATACTTTCAATTTTCCCCTCCATTATGTCCACTTTTTCAGCTACCTCTTCCACATGGGAGTTCACCTTTTCAAGAACAGAAGCAACTCCTTCTAAAGCCAAAACAAAATCTTGTCTCAAGATCTTATTATTTTCCTCTAAAATCTTTTTCATTTCTGCCCTAATTTGAATTATAACATCTCCCATCATGTCTTGCAAATCCTTCATAGTTATTAGCTGACCCCCAGAAGAGGGTGAAACTGTTGATTTAGAAGCTGTAGAAATCCCTGGACGCTTTGGAGCCATCTTAAAGAAAAACCTTTAGTCCTTCTTAAAAAATTATAAAAATTCCTTCAAAAATCATAACTCCCTCCAAAGAAGGTCATTATAATAAAAAGAAAAAAGGGAAAAAAAAGACGAGAAAAGGAATTAAAAAAAAACTTTACTCCTTCTTAAAAATTGCAAAAATTAAACAGAAAAAAGTCCTTCAAAAAAGGGTCATTACAATAAAAAGAAGGGAGTTCAAAGAAAAGAAAAAAAAAGGGAGAAGAAAAAAAAAATTAAATAGAAAAAGTCCGTTCCAAAAAAAATACTTAGAGATACCAAAAACAACCATTCCAATCATAAGAAAATAAAAAGGGAAAGGGAAAGGAAAGAAAGAAAACACCAAAAAGCCTGCCGGTCAGCATTCTAACTTCCAGAAAAAAAACATGGAGAGTTTTGCCGATCGCCATTTTACTTTCCCTTTCAACAAAGAAAAAAAAATAAAAAGAGAGAATAAAAATAGAAACAAGTCTTAAAACTTAAAATCCAAATAAGTCAAAGAAAGCAAAAACTAAATCCTCTACTCAGCTCTGTCCGTTTATAAAAAAAAAAAACTCACCAGTTCTCTTTAAGCACGGAGGTGTTTGCAGCGGCTCGTTTTGTCCCTGAGGACAAAAACAGCTGGGAAGCGGAGACAAGTCTGAACTCCGTGGGAGCACTCCTTTCATCCCCCCCAAAAAAACTTGGGGGGTACAAAAGAGGCTCTACCACTATTCAGACACTCTCTACTCCCCCCCTTTGCCCGGGAGGGGGATTTTGAACCGCTGAACAGCTGGTGTCTGCTGTTCATAGCGGTTCTTACACTTACCCAGGAGGACGGCTACAAAGTAGCCGCCATCGCGCGCGCAAAATCCACCGGAAGTCCTCAGCTGAAGTATTCTGAAGCCCCCGAAAAGGCGGACGCACTAAAGCCCTAAAGAAAAGGGCTCGAAGAACCATTTGCAGAGGGGAGGCATCGCATGGCTACTTTTCATCTTTGGCTCTTCATTCTCTCCCCAGAAATGAGAACATGGCGAAATGGAGGCCGCGGCTCTTAACTATCTCGGAGACCTGCACTGAGTCGGTAAGCCCAGACCAGCTCCTCACCATGCAGAAGCCCTTTCGCTGCGGGTTTGTTGATATGCCGACAGTTGTAATATTTGCATTGTTATTTCAGGATCCTTTGGAAGAATGCCAACCAAGGGACGACGTGCAGGAGGAAAGCAGTGCCTGCTTATCAAGGTAGGTAACACCTCAGAGGGTGAAACCTTTGCAGAAGGGAGGCATCTCTGCCCTCTGCCTCTGCAAAGGAAGAATGACTGAGGGCAGCCCCTTTGGCAGGCCAATCCCCTTGGCAGGCCAGCTGGAAGGGTTCTTAGAACCTCCACGGGACCACTTTTTTAAAAAGGGCCCGTGGCTACTTTTCACCTTTGGCCTCTTCGTTTCGCTCCCCAGAGAGAAAAAGCAAGAGCACTGGAGGCCGCGACTCCCCCCCATTTTGGAGACCTGCGTTGAGTCGGTAAGACCTGAACAGCTTCTGCCCCACTAAAAGAAGAAGCATTGTCTCTGTGGAGATGCCAACAGACAGAACCTTCACATTGTTATTTCAGGACGAAGAAGACCAGCCGGCAGAAGAGGAGCTCTCTCCTACTGAGGAGAAGACGCAGACCTCGGAGGTAAGAAAGTCTTGGCAATGGGGCCGATGGAGGCTCTCTTGCTGTTGGCACACAGGGCCTGAACGCACCCTATCCTTTAGCAATCTTATTGGGATGCAGAAGGCTTAGGATTTAGCCTCGATACTGTCACTAGCAGGATTCGATGGAAGTGCAGGTGGGCTCCGGGATCAACAGCCTGGAGGATTTCGACTCCATTTCTGCCCTCTTGGATGAGGTGTCTGAGGGAAGCTGGGAGCAGGCTGCAGAGGCTTTGGAGGCCAGCCTTTCGTCCAGTCCGTGGGTAAGAAAGACAAAGTGTTTTCTCTTGGGGAAGGATAGAGTCCCTCTATTCAGTTCTCCTAATCTGAGTGAACTGTGCTGGAGGGCTCTGGGCAGTGGAGCAAGGTGACACCTGGCCCTTGGGACAACATATTTAGGCTAACACTCAAGCTCTGTTGCGATTGGTTGGGTACCGCAAAGCAGCAGGGAAGGGCCCAATGCAGTGGACTGGTATCCTAAATGGATATGAACCACCCTGCTTATCCCTTTCCTTTTTCTGCTTCCTCCTCTCCAGCACCCTGTTGTTTCTGGGCAGGGCATTAAGGGGCAGAGTAGACAGCCTACATTTCTGCGGGAATGGCTGGGTGGGGGTGGGGATTGCAACAGAAGCATTGTTCCCGATGAGGATCCTGATTCAATAGGACCTCTTTTAGGAATTCTGAGTCTCTTTTCACTGATGGCTAAAGAGGAATCATTGTCATTCACAGGATTCTCCTGAAGAAGGGGAAGGCACGCTGGAGAATCTCAGCAGCCTGGAGGAAGACTCCCTGGACTTCAGTCTCTAATTAAAAGAGGTACCTATTTTAGCCTCTTTGTTGTTGTGTTGAAGTCTTGCAAAGCTCAATGAAGCAATACGCTCTGCCGTGCAGGGTCACCCAAGTCAGACAGGTCATAGTGCAGAGCGCTAACACAACATGGTCCACTGGAGAAGGAAATGGCAACCTTCTCCAGTGTCCTTATTAAGAAAACCCCACAAAAGTATCAAAAGTAACTCCAAAAAGAACAAAGTGTTTGTACTTTTATAGAAAGCGTGTGGTACTAATAAAAGCCTTTGATTACTCCCCCAGATGCTTCCCCAGATGCCTCTCCAGTTGGCAGATCGGAGAAGGATGAACCAGTCCCAGGCACATCAGGAGGTGAGTTGGTCAATGCCTGCGAGCAGCCAGAGGAGAGGGATTTGGCTGGAGCACAGGTGCGGCAGGACAGCCAGGAGGCTTTCGGATGGGAAAGCACACAGCTGCAGATGGTTAGTTTGGAGGAGGAACTGCTTTATACACTCATCCGAGAACAGGTAGGGCAGAGAAAAGGCAGGAGCAGCAAAGGGCAGCTCTTTTATCACAAGGAGGAAGTCTCGCCCTTCTTGATGGGCTGGACCAGAAGCTGGCTATTTAGCACAGCAGACAGATGGAGGCGATGCTGGGAACAATGTGTTCATGAGTAGGGGGTTGGAGTAGAAGACCTCCAAAGTCCCTTCCAACTCTTGGTATTCTGTTCTGTTATTCTATCTGCATATAGACGGACGGCGATGGACGGCGGAATCCGACCCAGCAGCGAAGACCAGCGATGAGCCACTTTCCCCCAAGGAACTTTCTGCGTCTTGTTATTGTTGTTGTTTTTGTAATTGTTCTTTTTGTTGTACTTGCTCTTGTTGTTCTAGTTATTGTTTGGAGAATAAAAGTAAAAAAGATTTTATATATACTAATTTAGCTTAGGCCTATTTTCATTACACTTTTGTTAGGAATAGGGTAAACTTTTCATTAAATGTAAATTTCAGCAAAATTCTTTGTCTGAGCTTTGTCCCATTTTTTCCCACCGTTCTACAGCATACAGTGAATTAGTATTTAGTTACAATATTAATGGAAACCTGACACTTCCAGAGGTTCCTCAACTACATACAGGTAGTCCTCAACCTACCCCAATTGATCCCCAAATATATGTTGCTAAATGGAACATTTGTGAAGTGACTTTTGCCTCATTTTACAATGTTTCTTGCCACAGTTGTTAAGTAGATCATTGCAGTTGTTAAGATAGTAACACAATTGTTAAGACTGGCTTCCCCATTGCTTTTGCTTGTCAGAAGGGCGCAAAAGTTGATCACATGACCCCTGGACACTGCTACCGTCCTAAACATGAGTCAGTTGCCAAGCATCTGAATATTGATCACGTGACCATGGGGTTCTGCAATGGACGAAAGTGTGAAAAAAGTTCATAAGGAATTTTACAGAACAATACCCAACTTATAGTAGCTAAGAGGCCATAATTTCTTGCAAGTCATGCTAGGTTGTTGCTACAAGGCATACACTAGCAAAATATGCAATCCAACTCCTCTAACCGACTTTCTCTGGAGAGGTGAGTGCAACTCCCAGACTGGCCATTTCTCTCCATGCAAATGGTGACCTGACAGCGACTGCAATCTGACCACTTAGAGAGGGGCACCAATTTCATCTGAGTTTTACCCCATTTTATGACCTTTCTTGCCACACCTGTTAAGTGAATCACTCCAGTTCATAAGTTAGTAACATGGTTCTTAAGTGAATCTGGCTTCCCCATTGACTTTGCTTGTCAGAAGGTCACAAAAGAAAATCACATGACCTGGGGACAGAGCAACGGTCATAAGTGTGAACCAGTTGCCAAGCATCTTAATTTTGATAACATAATCATGGGGATGCTGCAAAGGTCGTATTTGTGAAAATAATAATAATAATAACAAGAACAACAACAACTTTATTGTCACTTTGAATGTACACCAATTGGCATACATCAAAATGAAATTTCGTTGCATACAGCTCTCAAAGGGTCACATGTCCCTTTTTTCAGTGACGTTGTAACTTCGAATGGTCATTAAATGAAGTGTTGTAAGTTAAGGCTTCCTGTAATTTGGAGGGTTATTTCTTCTATACACAAGGAGCACCGATCATGTCTTGCAATATACATCTTAAAATAAATAACCAACCTGGAAACTTTTGGAATATGAGTTTACTTACCGAAGAAAGATGCTATATTTACCATTTAATAATAGGCTGGAAGATAAAACCCCCAAAAGACATTTATCGGAGGCCATAAAAGCCACTTAGAAGCTGAATTCCAGAGTTGGAAGGGACCTTGGAGATCTTCTAGCCCAGCCGCCTAGAAGTGCAGAAGTCCAGAAAGGGTTTCCAAGTAGAAACAAAAGGACTTATGTCTTTTTCTTTCATCAAAGGAGTCAATTTAGCCATCTCTGCTAACTCCATCAACTTTTGCAGCCATTCCGCCATTGTGGAGATCGAAATGTCCTTACATGTTTGTGCATAAACTAGCCTTGCTGCAGTCAGCGTATATAACATTGAAGTTCCATCGTTTTGTCCAAGTCTTTTTTCCATTAAACCAAAAAGAAAAGTTTCTGGTTTTACCATTCTATTTACTTTCAGTATTTTCTGAAAAGGAAACTAAACAGCATGAGGGAACAATTCTGCGCCAGGACAATTTAGACAGCAATTAGCATTAGGTCTCATGAACAGCAAACCGGTGTTTAAATGTGCGGGTACCACGTCAAATCGTAGATCAGTTCATGTCCCGCTGTAAACTGAAGGCATATACAGTCTCTCATTTTTAAATATAAACAATGCTTTGCTTCAATGGTTAGATGGCCTAGACCAGGGGTAGGCAAACTTGGCTCTTTTATGACTCGTGGACTTCAACTCCCATAATTCCTCAGCCAGCATGCCTGGATGAGGAATTCTGGGAGGTGAAGTCCACAAATCGTAAAAGAGCCAAGTTTGAAGACCCCTGGTTTAGAACATAGATCTTTTTCAAATTTATATTATATTATGTTTTATTAGTCTACATGAAATGCTAATATATATTGCAAATCCATGTATGATATTCCATATGCTAAATAAACACACACACATACACAAATACACACAAACACACACACACACACACACACACAGAGAGAGAGAGAGAGAGAGAGAGAGATATTTTTTTAAAGATTTGGTCCCAAATGGGAAATATCCAGTGTAACCATTACTTACTGTTGCCTTGCCTTGTTTTGCCCTGGTATTTTATCACCACCATAATCCTATTCATAGTTACTTGTGGAATTTTGTCTTTGCGCGGAACTGTCTTCACTGCAAAAATGTGTGGAAAGAATTGACAATGCTACCTGTCTCAGCCCGAGAGGTGACTACAGCAGGACAAACTGCAGGGACTACAGACCTACCTCAGCTCAGGCTGGATTTTTAGGCCCCGTGTTGGGAAAGGAGGAGGCCATTTCCTGTTGCCCAGAAATTCAGTGAGTGGGGATTGGATCTTAGACTCGTCAATCAAAGGACAGTAACACTGGGTTCCTCTTCTGGTTTATATTTATATTTATATATTTGTATTCTTGGAGGGAAGAGAAGTGAGTAATTTGGGAGCTGGGAGTGGAAGGACAGATGGAAGGAAAGCTTGGAGTCTTAGCCCTAAGAAAACTACTAAGAGTTATACTAGTAGTGCTCGACTTACGACCACAATTGAGCCAATGTTTCTGTTGCTAAGTGAGAGAGTTTTTAAGTGAGTTTTTCTCCTTTTACAATCTTTCTTGCCACAGCTGTTAAGTGAATTAAGTGGTGAAGTTAGTAACAAGGTTGTTAAGTGAATCTGCCTTCCGCATTGATTTTGCTGTTGAAAGGATTGCAAAAGGGGATCACATGACCTTCGGACACAGCAACGGTCATAAATATGAACCAATTGCCAAATATCTGAATTTTGATCACATGATCATGGGACTGCTACAAAGGTCGTAAGTGTGAAAAATGGTCATCAGTTACTTTGTCAGGGCTGTTGTAACTTTCAAGGATCAAAAAATGAACGGTTGTAAGTCGAGGACTATCTGTATAAATACATCTTTAGAGCCACGGAAGGCGGGATTGGGTAGAAATATCATACAGCTAAGGCAACCTGTTTCTAATCCATTTTCACGTTGTTTTTAATGTAAATTTTACAATATTGACAATTTTGTTACTATAAAGCTTCTTGGGACAAACTCAAATTAAATATCAGTTTGTTATGGACTCAAGTCTCAGCTTGATTTTCCTGCACAGGTAGTCCTCGACTTACGATGAGAACTGAGCTCAAAATTTCTGTTGTTAAGGGAGACACTTGTTAAGTGAGTTTTGTCCCTTTTACGACTTTTCTTCCCACAGTTGCTTAATGAATCACTGCGCTTGATAACTTAGTAACACGGTTGTTAAGTGAAGCTGGCTTCCGCATTGGTTTTGCTTTTCAAACTGTTGCAAAAGGTGATCGCATGACCTCCGGACATAGCAACGGTCATAAGGATGAACCAATTGCCAAGCATTTGAATGTTGATCACGTGAGCATGGGACTACTACAAAGGTCGTAAGTGTGAAAAACGGTCATAAGTCACTTTATTCAGTGTCATTGTAACTTTCAAGGGTTACTAAATGAACTGCTGTACGTTGAGGACTTCCTGTACTATGTGTACTTAATCCTGCTTCCAATATTTTTCCTCAACCTTCCTTTGAAATTTCTCTAATCCCTTCACAACCCACTCTGAAGCCCATCCTTCAGAAATGCAGTTATAACGATAACTACGTTTGTTCCTGTTTGGGGCATTATATCAAAGTTAGATATTTTTATAAACTCAAAGAGGATACAAGGACAGAATTTAAAATATGAATATAAATAAATGAGAATTCTCCCGTTGGAGGAAGAAAAAGGATATCTATGTGAAACAATAGACGTTTTGGAAGTAAACCTGCAAACCTGAAAAAAAAAATAAGAATTTGTTCTGTTTCTGGGATGCCTGTGGTTTAATATTTCACTATAACTGAAGGATAAGTTATGAAGCTGGTTACTTTGAGCCTGCTGTTTATTTCTTGTTTTTTGTTCCTAGTTTATGATATTTGGAAATTTAAAATGGAACATATTTGAGACCAGCAAGGCCATTCTTGAAGAAAGAAGAACTGTCTCTATTTGTTAGGGCAGTGAATGCTTCAACATTTACTTAGAAGATATTTAAGTACAGCATCTCTCTCCTCATCACTACAAATCTGTAATGTTTTTCTCTTTGAGCCTGAAGTCACATTATCAGTACAGGTGGTCCTCAACCTGAGACTGCGATTGAGCCCTGAATTACAGTCGTACATTGTTGCAGTTAAAAAGTCAAAGCATCATGTGACTGGACCTAATTTTTTGAACATTTTTACAGTAGTTGTTAAGCGAACGCTGTAGTCATTAAGCGAATGCTGAAGTCATTAAGTGAACGCTGAAGGCTCAAAATAACGCTTTGCAACATGGCCGCCGGGGAGGTCATGCCTGAAGTCTGTGTGAGTATGGAGAGGAAACATCCCAGAGTTGTGTGTGCTGCATAGTGGAGATTTTCAAGAAAAGATTGGACAGTCATTTGTCTGAGATGGTATGGGGAGCCCTTCCTTGGGCAGGGGGTTGGACTAAAATTCCCATCTATCCTAGGATTGTATGATTCCCTCTGTGCTTTGTGCCACAATGATTGTGCTTCGCTGTTTTTCATGAACAGATAACTTCCCACATGAAAGGCAGAGGCCAAAAGCCACCAAAGGAGTCAGCCACCGGGCCATCCAGACATTCCTAAACCCAGGTGAGCTGCCCTCCTTGGGCAGGTTTAGAATGTGGCCAATGTTTACCTGGTTGCCAAAGCAACCAGGTTGACAGTTTCCCTGAAAAGCCACCAATCAGTGCCCAGCTGTCCATTCTCCCTTTGTGCAGTGAAAGGACCAACAGCTGCTTGGGGTCATGGCTGTACAACTGTTTTTTAGAGTAAGTGTGGCCATCTCAGCTGCCATGAAATTGGCAGTAGTAGGGGAGAAAGCCCTGTTTCCCAACTCTTATGACTGACTTATGCCTATTTCTCTTCTCTTCACAGAACATCTGGAAAAGATGTTCAGCGCTCTTCTGCTGCACAAAGAGCGACGTAGAGGACCTTCCTGAGCCTCCTGACAGGTACCACCCCCTTCTCCACAAACCCTGGGCACGGTGGGGCAACATTGATGGACTGCAGGGTCTCTAAGAGCCTCTCCTCAAGATGGCTTCCTGTGTGCGAGGGGTTGCAGAGGCAAAAGGTTGGGCAGGCTGAATGGCCGGTCCTAGAAAGGAGAGGCAGACCTAGAAGGATAACCTTTGACATGTCACCTTCTTCTTTTGGCCAGGACTGACGAGGGACAGAAGCGGCATGACCAGAAGGGAGAATGGCAGACACATCTTTGTGTGTCTGATGGACACGGGTTTTCCTCCCAAGGGGTAAGGACTCTTCTGTGACATGGCCAGTCAGGGCTCATGCCTCAAAACCGGGTGGGGAAAGGGAGGAATTCTCACTTGGGGGAACCTGGCCAGCCTAGCAAAGTCAAGAGGAGCCTTTTGGATTCGGGAAATGATCTTGATGGCTTGGAAGGGAAATACTGGGACATTCTAAGAAAGAGCCATTTTGAGCCTCTTCCCATTAGCCAACTTTTCCATGATCTGCTGTCTCTATTCCCTGTGGAGTGCAGCCTTTCCCTCTTGGGGAAGATAAACATTCCACCACATGCAGAGGACTTTTCATTTATTCCTTCAATGAACAATTGTTACTTGCAGGTTTTGATGGGTGTTCGTGCCACCGCCCGGATCCCCAGGAAGGAAGAGGTGGCGCCAGTTCTTATTTCAATGAGGTAGGTGTTCTCAGCTGAAGTATTCTGAAGCCCCCGAAAAGGCAGACGCACTAAAGCCCTAAAGAAAAGGGCTCGAAGAACCGTTTGCAGAGGGGAGGCATCGCATGGCTACTTTTCATCTTTGGCTCTTCATTCTCTCCCCAGAAATGAGAACATGGCGAAATGGAGGCCGCGGCTCTTAACAATCTCGGAGACCTGCACTGAGTTGGTAAGCCCAGACCAGCTCCTCACCATGCAGAAGCCCTTTCGCTGCGGGTTTGTTGATATGCCGACAGTTGTAATATTTGCATTGTTATTTCAGGATCCTTTGGAAGAATGCCAACCAAGGGACGACGTGCAGGAGGAAAGCAGTGCCTGCTTATCAAGGTAGGTAACACCTCGGAGGGTGAAACCTTTGCAGAAGGGAGGCATCTCTGCCCTCTGCCTCTGCAAAGGAAGAATGACTGAGGGCAGCCCCTTTGGCAGGCCAATCCCCTTGGCAGGCCAGCTGGAAGGGTTCTTAGAACCTCCACGGGACCACTTTTTTAAAAAGGGCCCGTGGCTACTTTTCACCTTTGGCCTCTTCGTTTCGCTCCCCAGAGAGAAAAAGCAAGAGCACTGGAGGCCGCGACTCCCCCCCATTTTGGAGACCTGCGTTGAGTCGGTAAGACCTGAACAGCTTCTGCCCCGCTAAAAGAAGAAGCATTGTCTCTGTGGAGATGCCAACAGACAGAACCTTCACATTGTTATTTCAGGACGAAGAAGACCAGCCGGCAGAAGAGGAGCTCTCTCCTACTGAGGAGAAGACGCAGACCTCGGAGGTAAGAAAGTCTTGGCAATGGGGCCGATGGAGGCTCTCTTGCTGTTGGCACACAGGGCCTGAACACACCCTATCCTTTAGCAATCTTATTGGGATGCAGAAGGCTTAGGATTTAGCCTCGATACTGTCACTAGCAGGATTCGATGGAAGTGCAGGTGGGCTCCGGGATCAACAGCCTGGAGGATTTTGACTCCATTTCTGCCCTCTTGGATGAGGTGTCTGAGGGAAGCTGGGAGCAGGCTGCAGAGGCTTTGGAGGCCAGCCTTTCGTCCAGTCCGTGGGTAAGAAAGACAAAGTGTTTTCTCTTGGGGAAGGATAGAGTCCCTCTATTCAGTTCTCCTAATCTGAGTGAACTGTGCTGGAGGGCTCTGGGCAGTGGAGCAAGGTGACACCTGGCCCTTGGGACAACATATTTAGGCTAACACTCAAGCTCTGTTGCGATTGGTTGGGTACCGCAAAGCAGCAGGGAAGGGCCCAATGCAGTGGACTGGTATCCTAAATGGATATGAACCACCGTGCTTATCCCTTTCCTTTTTCTGCTTCCTCCTCTCCAGCACCCTGTTGTTTCTGGGCAGGGCATTAAGGGGCAGAGTAGACAGCCTACATTTCTGCGGGAATGGCTGGGTGGGGGTGGGGATTGCAACAGAAGCATTGTTCCCGATGAGGATCCTGATTCAATAGGACCTCTTTTAGGAATTCTGAGTCTCTTTTCACTGATGGCTAAAGAGGAATCATTGTCATTCACAGGATTCTCCTGAAGAAGGGGAAGCCACGCTGGAGAATCTCAGCAGCCTGGAGGAAGACTCCCTGGACTTCAGTCTCTAATTAAAAGAGGTACCTATTTTAGCCTCTTTGTTGTTGTGTTGAAGTCTTGCAAAGCTCAATGAAGCAATACGCTCTGCCGTGCAGGGTCACCCAAGTCAGACAGGTCATAGTGCAGAGCGCTAACACAACATGGTCCACTGGAGAAGGAAATGGCAATCTTCTCCAGTGTCCTTATTAAGAAAACCCCACAAAAGTATCAAAAGTAACTCCAAAAAGAACAAAGTGTTTGTACTTTTATAGAAAGCGTGTGGTACTAATAAAAGCCTTTGATTACTCCCCCAGATGCTTCCCCAGATGCCTCTCCAGTTGGCAGATCGGAGAAGGATGAACCAGTCCCAGGCACATCAGGAGGTGAGTTGGTCAATGCCTGCGAGCAGCCAGAGGAGAGGGATTTGGCTGGAGCACAGGTGCGGCAGGACAGCCAGGAGGCTTTCGGATGGGAAAGCACACAGCTGCAGATGGTTAGTTTGGAGGAGGAACTGCTTTCTACACTCATCCGCGAACAGGTAGGGCAGAGAAAAGGCAGGAGCAGCAAAGGGCAGCTCTTTTATTCACAAGGAGGAAGTCTCGCCCTTCTTGATGGGCTGGACCAGAAGCTGGCTATTTAGCACAGCAGACAGATGGAGGCGATGCTGGGAACAATGTGTTCATGAGTAGGGGGTTGGAGTAGAAGACCTCCAAAGTCCCTTCCAACTCTTGGTATTCTGTTCTGTTATTCTATTTGCATATAGACGGACGGCGATGGACGGCGGAATCCGACCCAGCAGCGAAGACCAGCGATGAGCCACTTTCCCCCAAGGAACTTTCTGCGTCTTGTTATTGTTGTTGTTTTTGTAATTGTTCTTTTTGTTGTACTTGTTCTTGTTGTTCTAGTTATTGTTCGGAGAATAAAAGTAAAAAAGATTTTATATATACTAATTTAGCTTAGGCCTATTTTCATTACACTTTTGTTAGGAATAGGGTAAACTTTTCATTAAATGTAAATTTCAGCAAAATTCTTTGTCTGAGCTTTGTCCCATTTTTTCCCGCCGTTCTACAGCATACAGTGAATTAGTATTTAGTTACAATATTAATGGAAACCTGACACTTCCAGAGGTTCCTCAACTACATACAGGTAGTCCTCAACCTACCCCAATTGATCCCCAAATATATGTTGCTAAATGGAACATTTGTGAAGTGACTTTTGCCTCATTTTACAATGTTTCTTGCCACAGTTGTTAAGTAGATCATTGCAGTTGTTAAGATAGTAACACAGTTGTTAAGACTGGCTTCCCCATTGCTTTTGCTTGTCAGAAGGGCGCAAAAGTTGATCACATGACCCCTGGACACTGCTACCGTCCTAAACATGAGTCAGTTGCCAAGCATCTGAATATTGATCACGTGACCATGGGGTTCTGCAATGGACGAAAGTGTGAAAAAAGTTCATAAGGAATTTTACAGAACAATACCCAACTTATAGTAGCTAAGAGGCCATAATTTCTTGTAAGTCATGCTAGGTTGTTGCTACAAGGCACACACTAGCAAAATATGCAATCCAACTCTTCTAACCGACTTTCTCTGGAGAGGTGAGTGCAACTCCCAGACTGGCCATTTCTCTCCATGCAAATGGTGACCTGACAGCGACTGCAATCTGACCACAGAGAGGGGCACCAATTTCGTCTGAGTTTTACCCCATTTTATGACCTTTCTTGCCACACCTGTTAAGTGAATCACTCCAGTTCATAAGTTAGTAACCTGGTTCTTAAGTGAATCTGGCTTCCCCATTGACTTTGCTTGTCAGAAGGTCACAAAAGAAAATCACATGACCTGGGGATACAGCAACGGTCATAAGTGTGAACCAGTTGCCAAGCATCTTAATTTTGATAACATAATCATGGGGATGCTGCAAAGGTCGTATTTGTGAAAATAATAATAATAATAACAAGAACAACAACAACTTTATTGTCACTTTGAATGTACACCAATTGGCATACATCAAAATGAAATTTCGTTGCATACAGCTCTCAAAGGTTCACATGTCCCTTTTTTCAGTGACGTTGTAACTTCGAATGGTCATTAAATGAAGTGTTGTAAGTTAAGGCTTCCTGTAATTTGGAGGGTTATTTCTTCTATACACAAGAAGCAATGATCATGTCTTGCAATATACATCTTAAAATTAATAACCAACCTGGAAACTTTTGGAATATGAGTTTACTTACCGAAGAAAGATTCTATATTTACCATTTAATAATAGGCTGGAAGATAAAACCCCCAAAAGACATTTGTCGGAGGCCATAAAAGCCACTTAGAAGCTGAATTCCAGAGTTGGAAGGGACCTTGGAGATCTTCTAGCCCAGCCGCCTAGAAGTGCAGAAGTCCAGAAAGGGTTTCCAAGTAGAAACAAAAGGACTTATGTCTTTTTCTTTCATCAAAGGAGTCAATTTAGCCATCTCTGCTAACTCCATCAACTTTTGCAGCCATTCCGCCATTGTGGAGATCGAAATGTCCTTACATGTTTGTGCATAAACTAGTCTTGTTGCAGTCAGCGTATATAACATTGAAGTTCCATCGTTTTGTCCAAGTCTTTTTTCCATTAAACCAAAAAGAAAAGTTTCTGGTTTTACCTTTATATTTACTTTTAGTATTTTCTGAAAAGGAAACTAAACAGCATGAGGGAACAATTCTGCGCCAGGACAATTTAGACAGCAATTAGCATTAGGTCTCATGAACAGCAAACCGGTGTTTAAATGTGCGGGTACCACGTCAAATCGTAGATCAGTTCATGTCCCGCTGTAAACTGAAGGCATATACAGTCTCTCATTTTTAAATAGAAACAATGCTTTGCTTCAATGGTTAGATGGCCTAGACTAGTGGTAGGCAAACTTGGCTCTTTTATGACTCGTGGACTTCACCTCCCAGAATTCCTCAGCCAGCATGCCTGGATGAGGAATTCTGGGAGGTGAAGTCCACAAATCATAAAAGAGCCAAGTTTGAAGACCCCTGGTTTAGAACATAGATCTTTTTCAAATTTATATTATATTATGTTTTATTGGTCTACATGAAATGTTAATATATATTGCAAATCCATGTATGATATTCCATATGCTAAATAAACACACACACATACACAAATACACACAAACACACACACACACACACACACACACAGAGAGAGAGAGAGAGAGATATATTTTTTTAAAGATTTGGTCCCAAATGGGAAATATCCAGTGTAACCATTACTTAACTGTTGCCTTGCCTTGTTTTGCCCTGGTATTTTATCACCACCATAATCCTATTCATAGTTACTTGTGGAATTTTGTCTTTGCGCGGAACTGTCTTCACTGCAAAAATGTGTGGAAAGAATTGACAATGCTACCTGTCTCAGCCCGAGAGGTGACTACAGCAGGACAAACTGCAGGGACTACAGACCTACCTCAGCTCAGGCTGGATTTTTAGGCCCCGTGTTGGGAAAGGAGGAGGCCATTTCCTGTTGCCCAGAAATTCAGTGAGTGGGGATTGGATCTTAGACTCGTCAATCAAAGGACAGTAACACTGGGTTCCTCTTCTGGTTTATATTTATATTTATATATTTGTATTCTTAGAGGGAAGAGAAGTGAGTAATTTGGGAGCTGGGAGTGGAAGGACAGATGGAAGGAAAGCTTGGAGTCTTAGCCCTAAGAAAACTACTAAGAGTTATACTAGTAGTGCTCGACTTACGACCACAATTGAGCCAATGTTTCTGTTGCTAAGCGAGAGAGTTTTTAAGTGAGTGTTTCTCCTTTTACAATCTTTCTTGCCACAGCTGTTAAGTGAATTAAGTGGTGAAGTTAGTAACACGGTTGTTAAGTGAATCTGCCTTCCGCATTGATTTTGCTGTTGAAAGGATTGCAAAAGGGGATCACATGACCTTCGGACACAGCAACGGTCATAAGTATGAACCAATGGCCAAACATCTGAATTTTGATCACATGATCATGGGACTGCTACAAAGGTCGTAAGTGTGAAAAATGGTCATCAGTTACTTTGTCAGGGCTGTTGTAATTTTCAAGGGTCAAAAAATGAACGGTTGTAAGTCGAGGACTATCTGTATAAATACATCTTTAGAGCCAAGGAAGGCAGGATTGGGTAGAAATATCGTACAGCTAAGGCAACCTGTTTATAATCCATTTTCACGTTTTTAATGTAAATTTTACAATATTGACAATTTTGTTACTATAAAGCTTCTTGGGACAAACTCAAATTAAATATCAGTTTGTTATGGACTCAAGTCTCAGCTTGATTTTCCTGCACAGGTAGTCCTCGACTTACGATGAGAACTGAGCTCAAAATTTCTGTTGTTAAGGGAGACATTTGTTAAGTGAGTTTTTCCCTTTTACGACTTTTCTTCCCACAGTTGCTTAATGAATCACTGCGCTTGATAACTTAGTAACACGGTTGTTAAGCGAAGCTGGCGTCTGCATTGGTTTTGCTTTTCAAACTGTTGCAAAAGGTGATCGCATGACCTCCGGACATAGCAACATTTTACAATGTTTCTTTCCACAATTGTTAAGTAGAACACTGCAGTTATTAAGATAGTAACACAGTTGTTAAGAGAATCTGGCTTACCCATTGCTTTTACACATGACCCATAGACACTGATATCATCATAAACATGAGTCAGTTGCCAAGCATCTGAATATTGATCACCTGATCATGGGTTTCTGCAACGGATGAAAGTGTGAAAAAAGTTCATAAGGAATTTTACAGAACAATACCCAACTTATAGTGGCTAAGAGGTCATAATTTCTTGTAAGTCATGCTAGGTTGGTGCTACAATGCATACACTAGCAAAATATGTATATAAGATACACAAATTGGATAGCTAAAATGGCAGGGAAAGTGTATATCCTAACTCACTCTTGGCAAACCTTTTAGACGGAGTTCC